CCCCAAAACCCCAAAACCCCAAAACCCCTCTGCTAGTTAACTTACAAGATGATGCTTGCATATTAATAGAAATATTATTTGATATGTAAAAAAAACTAAAAATTGAGTTTGTAGTTTTGTAAAAAGTTGTTCATACGACAAAAATATCATGCTCCTCTAGTTAGTATGCTAAAATTTAAAAGCTAGCAAACAATATCTAGTCAAGTCTAAGCTTAAACAATAACTCATAGTTTTCAGGTACATCGTCTCTCGAACAAGAATCAGTAGAAAAAAATCATCGTAAACTCAAAGAAAAGAGGAAAAATAAGAATAAAACAAAGAAAGTAAAAATAGTAGACTCATATGAGGATGAAGATGGACTTAAAGAAGAGAATAGTAGTGAAAGTCTAACAAATGAAACTAGATCAAACAACAAACTACCTCCAAAATCAATCCTTAGAAATAAGCAATAACCTAGTTATCAATAAGCGAAAGGAAGAAGTGGCCATAATAATCTAGATGATGAAAATGAGGTTGATGAGGATCAACTGAGCGATGATGAATTCTTAAAGAGAATTGAGGGGAAAGGTGACTCTAAAGGTGATAAAAATGACAAAAGTGAAAAGAAGGAAGAGCCAAAGGTTGATTTAGATAAGCTAACTAAGCGTCAAAGAATGGCATATCTATAAAAATAAAACCCTCTCCCAAACAAGCAACAGTAGATTAGCATTGGGAGACTCAGCAAATAAGATCAAACAGCAGCTCTTGCTAGATATTTAGATCCTAACGCCGACGGAGATATGGTATTTTACGAACTTTCAAATGCCAAGAAGTATGATGAATTTGATTATGATGAAGATGATGAGCTTAATCCTGGATTGCCAAGAAATAGGGTTGGCAGAAAGCCCAAAACTTAAGCAAATTAATAGTAGATAGATGAGTAGAAAAGATAGTAACTCGAAAAGATACTGGAGGAACAAAAGAAGAAGTTTAAGGATAGGGAAAAGAAGCTAACCAATCATATGAATTCAGAGGTATCAGGTGGAAATGGTGTCGTAGGGAGGTATATTTTTTAAAACTCATAAAGAATATAAGCCAAAATATGTCCAACTAAACCTGGCTAATGTAATATCAAGGTAAAGCTAATATATAAAAAAGATAAGCCAACTAAGCTTTTGATCCCAAAGGAATTGATAAAAAATGACTAGAAATATGGCGGTTTAATTTGCAAATAGTCAAATGCAGGCTTAATTCGAAGGATTGAAGATAGACAAAGAAGTTTGAAATGTTTTTGCTGTGGTAAAACAGAGAGAAAGTATGTATGCTCAGTAACAAAGAGGATAGCTTGCAGTTTCGAATGTTATTAGAAAAATAAAGTCAAAGTTTGAAATTATTTTATTTAATTAATTACATAAATAAAAATTAAACTTATAATGGGGTTTTGGGGTTTTGGGGTTTTGGGG